CCCCCCAAGAGCTGGGGTGCCCAGCACATCCAGCCCTGCTGGCAGGGCCCAGCTCCCCGGGTTGGAGGGTGGGGAGGGAAGATGCTGGGGCCGCCTGCAGCTATTCCCTTCCCCGTGGTTGTGTTTGAAGCGCTTCCCTATCGGCCTTTTTTTCCAAAAGCTTTGGCTTCCCCCCCATAGCCTCAACAGATGAAATCAAAGGGAAGTAGCTCGGCTTGGTGTAACCTGTTTTGATGGAGGAGATAAGCGGGGAACAAGTGTCTGACACAAACAAACAGACAGACAGGGGCAAGTCCCACCTCAGTTCTGTTCCATCAGATACCGAGGCCTTAGATAAACCACAAGAAGGGGGAGATCTCTGCCCCTGGGGCTGCAGGACCAGGGGCGACACTCTGGCACTGCCAAGCCCCCACAGTTCCCAACAAAAAAAAAAAAAAAAAAAAAAAAAAAAAAAAAAAAAAAAAAAAAAAAAAAAAAAAAAAGAAAAAAAGAATAAAAAAACCAGCGTGGAGCTCGCTGGCATGGCTTTCATCAGTTTGAAAAAAAGATGAAAAGAGCTCCGAGCCAAGCAGAAAACTCGCTGCTCTTCCTTACCCCCCATGGAGGCTCGCCTGGGAGCCCAGCCCCGCTGCCAAGGCTTGGGATCACACAGGGAAAAGGGAAAAGGACCCTCAAAAAAGGAGGGATAATCCCCACTCAGCCTGCCCCGCATCCCTGTGGTGATGGGGAAGGCAAACCGACCCTCGTGGGGGCAACTGCTGTTCGTTCCCCCCCTCGCGCACACAATTTAAAAATTCAGATATTAATTAGAGTATTAATGTTCGCAGCGCTGGGCAGGGAGAACCTTTAGAAATTATACTTTTTTAAATGATAGTTTGTCAAATGGCATCATCTCACTCTAACTGGTAGATGTGGGATCAAAACACCACAAGTTTCTGGAGAATATATATTTTTAAAAGGCCTGAAACATTTTCTGTGGAATTGGTGTGGATGAAAAGAAAAAAAAAAAACAAAAAACAAAAAACAAAAGCACTGAGCTCTCTAAACCTCCTATGAAATGTGAACGATTTTAACAATTTTCTCAAAAAAGAACCCCCCACAATTATTTCAAACATTTTCAAAGTAGAACAATGCTCCAAATTACCTTTTTTTTTTTTTTTCCCCCCCTTCTAAGCCTGGAATTGGCGGGGATATGAAAGGATGAGATTATGCCTTTGCTACTGACACTTCCCATCAGATCTTTAGGCATCAGTTTTAGATCAAGGGCTTGTTTTACAAAAGCATTTTGGTACTTAATTCCCTCATTTTTTCCTTTTTATTTTTTTTTTCCAAGCTCTTAGAGCCAGCCCACATCTTTTGGTGATGAAAAACCTTGGGATGCCTGCACCTGGGAGGATTTCTAGGTGAAATATTGTTAATTTGGTAAGAGACCTCTCCTTTGGGAGGGGGGAATGAGGTTCCCGAGGAACCTAATCCAGTAGGAAACGGGAAATTCAATTAATGAGTCATCAGAAAACACGCGGAGCCTTTTCCCACATGAAGCAGCTAACCAAAACACGCCGCTATTAGGAGCTGCAGTAAATATTCCTC